GGTGGTTTTGGAGCGAATTTGTGCTCCACGTGCCTTATAGAGAGCATGCATTTCAAATTCGGCTTTCTTTTTGTACACCTGTTGCTGTAACGTTGCATTATTTGGATCAGTGGCCAGTTGTTTTTCTAGTCTCATTAAATCTTCTTCTAAAACTTTGCTAGTCATGCGTCTTTCATTAGCTTTTTGTTTGCCGTAGTCAATCGAAAAACATCTAACTTTATTTTTACAATAATCCCACATCATTTGTTTGTTCTCGATCGACGAGGCATTTAGGCCGTCTTCGATATTCTCAATAATCTGATTAACACTGTCTACATAAGCTTTATCATACAATAAAGAGTTATTAAATTTCCAGTATGATGAACCCTTATCCTGTTGGGTCACACACATGTCCATCATGACTGCTCTGTGGTCACTACATGGAAAGGACCAAATCTCACAGCTGGTACTTTTATCAAATAACAAATCATTAACAAAGATATAGTCCAGTCTTCTAGCAATGAATGGATTCTTTTTGGACCAGGTGTACTCTCTTTCAACACCATGAAATGTTCTCCATATATCAACAAGGTCATGTTCATTCAAAATATTGTTCAAAATTGTCATTTCTGTGCTGTCGTGCTCCCTTCCCGCTATATTATCGAGAGAGTTGTTAAGGGTCGTATTAAAATCTCCAGCAACCAGTACATGTTCAAAATCAGTACAATATTTTTGTATCATGTTCGATACTTGGGAGAAAAACAGCTTTTACATGTCACAGCATTTGGGGCATAAATGTTGAAACAAACAAATTTTTCATTTTGAGACGTAAATCGTACACCGATAATACGGTCAGAAATATCAATGAACTCAATGTTTTTACAGTCAAAATGTTTAGATATAAGAATAACTTGCCCCTTACTGTGACGTGTACTGGGATGGGCAAAAAGTTTATCACCCCACTCTTTCGTCCACAATTCAAAATCATCACTTGTTATATAGGTTTCTTGCATTAGTACAATGTCAATCTTTTTTGACTTAAGAAATTGAAAAACAGTTCGTCGTACCGTTCGTTTCCTTAAACCTCGTGTATTGATGGTGAGCAGTCGTACCATAGGTGTCGGTGGAAGATAGTTCAGCTACAGTAACTATCCATTGTCTTTCCTTCTCCTCTGATCGTCCAAGCGACCATCGTCTTTGTGAAGTTTGTCCGGCTTTGCCTTATCAGGTGGAGTAAGTACGTTCTTTCTCTTTCTAGCTGACCTTGTTGACACTGGTTGGCGTCGTAGACCACGCTCCCCAGTGTTCTCGGTGCTGGTCGACGTTGGACGCGATGAGCGCGTTCGTCTCCTCTGATAGGACCCATCAGAGAGCCCTGCTTTCTCTTGTGGGGGTTTTGCTTTTGCCCCTCTTCCAGTGTTTTCGTCTTCGCTGTTTTCCACATCTATAGGGCTTTCTACAGCTTCAGCAGCCTCGTCCGGATCACAGGAAGTCCAGTCACCGCTGTGCTCGTCTCCGCTGTGGCTATCATTGCCTGTTTCACGGGTAGATCTAGTCGAGTAAGGGCGGGAGGAAGGGTTGGAAGCTTCCCTTGCAGCCTTAAGTCCAGCACTTACTGACTGATCAATTTTTTTTTCTGCTTTTCACGAGATGGAATAGTTTTGTCGGCTCTGCACCACTTTTTCGTGTGTCCTTTCTTTCCACAAATGTAGCAGGTGATGCGGTGAGGGCATTCGTGGAATGCATGGTCCTCGGCTTTGCAGGATTTGCAATTGATAGATTGACCGTCATGGAACACAGTCACTTCTATATCAATTAAAGAATCAGTGTCTGTAGGATCAGGTATACTGTAAGTGGAGTAGCGTGGAAACGGGTTAATGATCTTAGAGACGTAGCAAAATCTATGCCCCGAATACAGATGCTGGAAGGGTGAGTCAACATTCCTGTTCTTCTTTTGATGCCTCTTGACCTCTGTTAGCCTTTCAGCACGAGAGTCCACCCACTGAGCTACTTCTTCATCAGACACACTATGTGGGATTCCATGAATTGAAATTCTGGTTTCAGCTTTCCTTAATCCTGTCTTTTGAAAGTCCAGGATACCGTAAGACCCTGTGCCGACGACGACGCGACCGACACTGATCGCTTTAGCTTTAGCATCCAGGCATGAAAAGTTGATTACCCAGGTGCGTTTTTGGCTAAGGTACTGCGCCCCTAATATTTCGTCGGGTTTTATGGCATCCGTCATCTCGTTTCGCACCGTATTGTATAAAGCTTCAACTACATCGAACTCAGAAAGTTTAGGCATACCGACTGCGTCAATTTTGATCCAAAGGTTGGTGTCTTGGAGCCTTGAAATGTCGTCACGTTCACGAGCCGCCATCTTTGCTGTATGCGTAGCTCGCCCTCCCACTGGTTGCGAAAAGAAGCCACAAAACTCTCACAGGGAAGAAAACGGGTAACTCCAAGGCAGCGACGACAGTCAGTGATCACTTATAAAACTTAGGAATCAAAGTAACTGGAAAATGTGCGGTTTTCACCGCTAATGAGCCACCAGAACGCAAATTCTGGCGAGCTGAAGAAAAAGAACGTCAGGTGACCTCACCTGACCTTTCACCTCTCTTCAATTGATAATTTTTTAGATAATTGTCACCTTCAAACGTTTTAGTTATGTATGTAAAGGCATAAATTACCCTATTTCAGCTATAGAATTTGCATTGAAATTATTATTCATTACTTCTTTACTTTGGTTGAAAGAAATTACTGTTAAGTCTTACCCTGTAGAACTCTGGATGCCATTGACACTAGTACAAGAGTGAACACAATTACTGTGTACAATGTGTACAGAGATTTCCAGACAGCGAAGTCCCGCTGTAACAACAGCGGGACTTCGCTGTCGGGAAATCTCTGTACACATATCATTCCCGATGTTGCCAGTATCGCAAGTGTCGCAATATGCTAAGGCTAGAGTGTACCAAATGCAATCAAAATATCTCACCTTGACAGGATCAGGGGAGGCATTAATTCTCTCCTGCAGTGAAGGTGTTTCTACTGCAGCTGTGTAAGATACAGTACGGTGAAAATGTAGTTCGACGTTTCAGTTTAGTTTCAGTTAATTGCACAGATGAACACCTGCTGTCAATAGAACATAGTGGAAAACAAAGCATTGACTGAAGCTGTGAAAACAGCTACGAATCTAAAATTACTAAAAAAAAACATACTGTCCGTAAAAGATCTAAAACCACTCCAAGCCTAGTACTTCGGCGATGTAATAATATGAAAAACCTAACATAAAAGAATAAAAAATGTTAGTTCAAAGTTACAAGTGTTTGTTACATGCATTATGCCCAACCATGGGGAAATTTCAATAATTAGGTATACACAATGTCTGGTACAAGCCAAAATATTAATTATGCTTTTGCAAAAAGTACATACTGTAGAAAGTTTCTTGTAGACTATCGCACAGTAAAGTTCACTGCCTCGGTGACATCTGTCTAAGAAGTACTAAATTTTGTACCTGGACAGATACAGTTACAGCGAATCCCCTTGGAGACAAAGTCTGCAGCGATGGCCTTGGTGAGTCCGCTGACTCCTCCCTTACTGACAGAATACACAAACCTCATCGGGACACCTGCACAAAACAGTCATGCTAACACCCTTCTGTTGGATATGGAGTCTTATAATTTGTGTAAAAACACAAACTACTTGAACACAACTACTTGAATGTCATAAAGAAATAAGAATGCCATAATGAAGTAAGATCGTGCTGGTTGAACGTTCCTCTCGGAACCAAGATGTCCTCTGTTCGAACCCTGCCGTGTCACCAATCTTTTGCCGTTGGGAAATTTACTTTACAAAACTTTACTCAGGTGGCAGTGAGTATTTTATTGCCCTCTGTGTTGGTGGTAGCATTAAAATACTTCGTAAGTTGAAAAAAATATTGCATTAAAAAAGAAATTACAGTATACTGCCCACCTTTAACATTTGAGATACTAGAAGACATGTTTACGATAGATCCAGAACCTTGTGCTACCATCTGCAATGCAAAGTCATTGAAACATTTATTTAGATAAAAGAAAAAAATAGAGTTCCATGATCTCATAACTTTTCAAACTGATGTTAATTTTTATGACTGACAAATTATATCTTATTCCTCCTGATTATGAAAATAGAATCCTCATTGTATGAATTATATCTGTTGATCATATTATCCAACAATAGACAGTCTTATTGTAACAAAGGATGTTGTTGTAGCATTTCCTTCGTCACAGAAAGTACATGCTCGCAGGAGTATTGACCTTTAAGAGGACAGCTCAAAACAGAACAGCTCGAAACAGGAAGTACTTGCTCGTCAGAAGTACTGACTTTGGGATGACAGCTCGTCACAGGAAGTACAGGCTCACCAGGAGTACTGACCTTTGAGAGGACAGCTCGTCACAGGAAGTACAGGCGCCGCCAGGAGTACTGACCTTTGAGAGGACAGCTCGTCACAGGAAGTACAGGCGCCGCCAGGAGTACTGACCTTTGAGAGGACAGCTCGTCACAGGAAGTACAGGCCCACCAGGAGTACTGACCTTTGAGAGGACAGCTCGTCACAGGAAGTACAGGCGCCCCAGGAGTACTGACCTTTGAGAGGACAGCTCGTCACAGGAAGTACAGGCCCACCAGGAGTACTGACCTTTGAGAGGACAGCTCGTCACAGGAAGTACAGGCGCCGCCAGGATACTGACCTTTGAGAGGACAGCTCGACACAGGAAGTACAGGCTCGCTGGGGTACTGACCTTTGAGAGGACAACTCGACACAGGAAGTACAGGCTCGCTAGGAGTACTGACCTTTAAGGGGACAGCTCGAAACAGGAAGTACAGGCGCCGCCAGTAGTACTGACCTTTGAGAGGACAGCTCGTCACAGGAAGTACACTGCGCCGCCAGGATACTGACCTTTGTGAGGACAGCTCGACACAGGAAGTACAGGCTCGCTGGGGTACTGACCTTTGAGAGGACAACTCGACACAGGAAGTACAGGCTCGCCAGGATACTGACCTTTGAGAGGATAGCTCGTCACAGGAATTACAGGCTCGCTGGGGTACTGACCTTTGAGAGGACAACTCGACACAGGAAGTACAGGCGCCGCCAGGAGTACTGACCTTTGAGAGGATAGCTCGTCACAGGAAGTACAGGCTCGCTGGGGTACTGACCTTTGGCAGTACAGCACATGCTGTCAGGAGTACTGACCTTTGGGAGGACAGCACGACACAGGAAGTACATGCTCTTCAGGTTGATATTCATAGTCTGGTCCCAGTCAGCCTCCTCACAGTCCAGGATCGTGCCATTGGGAACTATTCTAGAAACAGTGAAGTGCTCGTTACTTCATCAAAACGTGGTGCACATGGAATGACTGGTAAGATTTGTATCACCAATATATATATACCACTAGTAGCAGAACATGCCAGATTCTATATAAAACATATGGGGCACTAGACATTAATAGGAACATTTCTGAACAAACGCCAGATGGAAAGTCATGAAGTTGTACCCTGCACAGTTGAAGAGGATGTCCACACGGTCTAACTGGTCCACCAGTGCAGTGACCTGGCCCTTGTCTGCCACATTCAGCATCTTGGCCTCAATACCTGGGTAGAGGAACGGAATGTCTAACGTAATCTTGTAAAGCATGGTTTCAGCACCATGAAGGAACCTCCACTGGGCTTCCCTATGAGGGTATGGATTGTAGAATTCGGCGAAATGGGGAATAATTAGCCGGGGGAGTCCATCCGCTGAATCTTTCATATTCCTCCTTAGAAGACTGAGGCTAATCAATCTCTTTAGTAGCCAAACATCACTGTTCCCCATTAGCCAGTGTGGTTGGTCTGGTAGAGACTACACTTGTATGAACTGCCCCCCTTTGAAACATATTTGAAGTATATACAACATATTTTTGCTAGAAACCTTTCAAATGAATAGTCTTATCCTTAACTTTATTTTGACATAATTAACCCTCTTTAGTGATTTCTGTGAGACATTCTGTCAGACTGCCATTCAGCCATTCATTCATTCATTCATTTATTCATCTCACCCACCCACTCACTCATTCACTCACTTTCTGTTTTTTTTTACTGGTAGAAATTGTCTCACCTGCAGCTGGCACATCTTTGACCTCCTGCTCCAGTTTACTGATATTGATGTCTGTAGCAATGACTCTGGCTCCCTCCTTGACAAATGCCTGCAGAAAGAAAGAACATTGCTACTGAGTACATTACAAGTGCTTATAGTGAGGCAGCAATGGGAATGGGACTTTGGACTGATCCTGACATTGTGTTATCAAGAACGCCAAAGGTGTGAGTTTCAACCTTTCCAACTAATTTGGTTTCTCTCATACCTATTCTGACCATTACTAGTAATGTGACCCTTAGTACCTGATTACATTGTTTTACAGCAATCTTTTGACGATGTTCTAACGTTAGCCAGAAAAAAGAATTATACAAAGCTTGAAAAAGGTATCAAAACTTTGAAATCTGTTACTACGACAATTTCTTTGAAAATTTCATCATGGATAAAAGTTTGAAGAATAACTTGTAAAATACGACCTAAAAAGTGCTTTACACTGTGAAAAAACCTACTACATGGCCCCTGGTTTTTACCCGGTCTTCCTGGGGGGCGTGGCACTTTTACGTTATTGTCAACATGCCATTAGGCGTCGCCAAAAATGACAGTCCCAGAAAGTATACAAATGGAAGAGGAGACTGAATAACTGAACTAGTATCAAATTTATCCAAACGACCACGAGACGTCGAAACGTTCCGGGGAAGACTTACCAGTACAGTAGCCAGTCCTATCCCCTGTGCAGACGCAGTACACAGCGCTATTTTTCCGTCTAGACGTCCCATGTTCCACTGATGAAGTTTCAGCTGTAGTAACAGTTAGACTAACATTTGTCCATATCATCAAGAAAGTCAGAGGCCGTCCGTTTAACGTTACAGAAAAGCCTGAAAAAACGCGCTTCTAGCGGCCATCCCGACAGACTAGTGGGGAGGGGGGCAATCGAGCGCTCTTTGAACTTTGAACTTTATTCTTCACCTTTGTACCGGTGGCACAGACGGACACGGCCGCGTGCAGAATACATAACAAAATTAAAACAAATTATATCAAATCATAACAAATAATAATCAAGTGCTAACTAACTAACATAAAAATAATAGGCTAGTTATACCAAAATATGGGTAACTGGAGTTGTTTCACCGTCCCATAGAAGAAAATACTGGCTACACAGTTTTAAAACTGACAGATATGGTAGCGGTGTTGCTGCGTTAATGTGATAATGGCGCTAAGTTAACATAAGTGGTAAAAAACAATATAGTAATAATAACAAGATGAACTTAAGAACAAACTGATTTATGTACAAACAGTACAAATTGTTGCTGCAGTTATGTGATAAGGGAACTAAGTTAACATAAGTGGTAAAAACAATATGGTAATAACAAGATGAACTTTTAAGTCTTAAAAGAAGCAACTGATTCTTATTCAAACAATACACGTGTGTGTGAGATAACATAAGGTTACAACATTAGGCTTGCTTAAACATAGGAATTGGAAACATATAGGTAACGTAATAGAAATAAATAACACATCGTAAGAGAAATAATAACTTCAACGTTGCAGCAAAACATAACTGAACTTAGGTAATGGGTGGTATAAAATAAATAACGTGCATAATGCTACATAGGCAGTGGAGTGGAGGTGAAGGACAGTTGACTTAGAAAAGACATCCTATACATGCATCATCATTTCTGGAGATCCATGCTTTGTAAATGAATTTCTTAAGGTGCCTATCAATAATTGACTCCCATGGGCCCTGGTATCCCAGTAGTAAGTGTGTTTTCGAGTGGATTGATCCTGACATAAAAGCTTCCAAAGAGAGTTGCCCCCCTACCTGTAGCACATCATGTTCCAGATTTGTAAACATGCACGGTCCTTTCATTATTGTATTTGGGGCATATCAATAAATAGTGGTGTACAGTTTCTATTTCCTTTAAATTGCAGTTGTTACAGATACCATTTCCTTTGTAGTTCTTCCAAGATAGTTTCCTTCCTTCAAGTTCTAATACATTAGCTCTAGCTTTGAACTTTTTAAGTATGGTTTCCTCGGGGTTTGTAGGGTCATTTAAGTAATTTTCGAAGGATGGTGTACATTTCAAATTTCTTAACACTGAGGGTTGACAACAGGACATGGTATTACAGAAGGTATCTAAACGCTGGGTTTCAAGGATTCTTAATGCTGAGTTGATACAGTGCATGTTGATAGGTGAGTCATTGCACCATATGTGGTCTAACCCTAAGGAGGTGAGTAAGCTTTTCATGTGCTTGATCCATTTCCAGGGTATGTGCTTTCCTGCCTTGCTTAAGTTGAAGATTTGAAGTAGTATAAGCTTAGGCCACCTGTGGTCCTCCATTTTGATAAGTCTGTCATAAAATTTTATTCTGAGCTTGCCTTGGGAATTAGTAAGTGATTCCCAGCCCATTTCGCCTTGTATTGTAGCTTGTTGGTGCCATTTGGAGCCTTAAAGAGAAATTTGCCATATTGTTACTGTATACTATCTAAGCTATTTTTATCCTTGATAGAAGAAGGGACCCATATGCTGCTGCTATAGTTTACACTAGGGACAATGATGTTATTCCATAGGGTGTCCCCATAGGAGAAGCGGTTAAAACCATTGTGGTTGAAATCGTAGATTTACACGCTGCGGCTACCCTGTTAGCCTTTTAAGGGTTTCTGTAATATGAATGTTATCATTAAGATTTCTGGATATGTGAACCCCTAAGTATCTGTATGAATTACATTCTTCTAGTCTGAGGCTAGCCATTTTCCACCTTATAAGAGGATTTAGTTTCTTCCCCACTACCATAACCTTGGGTTTCTGTTCGTTAAACTTGAGTTTGAATCTTAATCCAAAGTCTGCAGAAATATATAACATGTGTTTTAACATTTGTTCGTTCACAGCAAGGAGGACTACATCATCAACGAAGAAGAGTCCACTAAGTATGGTATCCCCATTTAATCGGACCCCCAGACCGTGGAGTTGAAGGGATTTGGCTTGTTCATTCATATATAAGGAAAACAAAATAGGTGAAAGCACACATCCCTGCTTTACCCCTATATCAGAGTCAAAATAATCGGTCTCAATGTCATCGAACACTACCTTATTTATCACTCTCTCATATAACTTATCAATGATGTTCCATACTCCTCCCTGAATTCCATTTTGCCAGACCAGGTCAAAGGCCTTAGATAGGTCAAGAAAGGCCATGTAAGTGTGCATTCCATGTGCTTTGCGAATGACACTGATTCCCTTTAGGCTGAAAATACGGTCTTCCGGGCGTCTATCTTTTCTAAAAGCCGCTTGGATTTTCCCTAAAATGTTATTTTCTTCGATATATTTAGACAGTTATGATTCAATAACTTTGTTGAAAACTTTGCTTACACAAGAAGCTCCCAGCTATAGCCCCACACACCTGGGCAAAGGTCAATGTAAGGCGCAGGCGCAGAGGGCCCAGTTTTAGTCTATTTGAGTAAGGAGCAGGCTTAAGCTTCTGCCGACTCACTCGCCTTAGATTTCCTACTATATTCTTATATTTCAGTTTTTTAGCTGTTTTTGTTATATTTTGTATCCTTTATTGACATTTGAAAGTATGCTCTCCTTAAAATGCTTTAAAGGCCAACACTACATTCAACTTTAGGGGACTTGATGGGAGGAAAGGTAGTTTCCTTATGCCAGGATGAACAACTTTTAACTTTCTCCGTTTTGTTACTTTTTGCTTATGATGCTGGCTAAAAACAGAACATCCTGGAGGGACATGGCTACAGCCGCCATGCATCTACTCTGATGCTTGCGGCTTGATTGATTGATTGATTGATTGATTGATTGATTGATTGATTGCTAATGATTATGGGCCGCAGTTCAGTACTAGGCTCTCACGCAGCGGGCCCAGTTTTAAACAGATGGCGACATGAAATCAAACGTGAAGAAGTTTTCTTGGAAAATGTTCTCGTTTTGGAGCTGAATGTTATAGGTAAGGGTTGTAGTATTTTTATTGTGTTGAGACAAAAAAAACAACATTTTTTTTGTCTGGCTTGCTAAAGAATATAAGGGTTTTCATGCGGTCATCAGCTGCACCTGGCGACGGTCAGGGGTTCCTTGTCAATGTTTAAATTTGGTCAGATTTCACACATGATTTCAACGTATAAAATTTCTTTATCCTGGTCTAAATGTACGAGTTAGAGGTTGAAGCACTGTGAATTTAGCTGAAAGGCAGCGGGAGATTAACTGTTAACCACAGACAACTGACTGAGTATTGTTAATTTACAGAATTTGCATTGAGACATCCTGATAATAGGCTGTGGTAAACTGAATTACAAACGTTCTAGTGCATGTAATTGTGACAAACATTTCATAAAATTGTTTTTTTATTCTGTATTGTAGTCAGATAGGAATAAGCTCATATAAAGCCTTCACACCATTTCAGCCTAATCTGAAGCCTCGAAATGCAGAAGGACCAGTTTGGATACCATAATTAAACCGTACGCTCATGCATAACGTTGTGTGACCAAATGTAGTGACCTGATTCCTTTTCAGTGTCTATTACTGGGGCTACATTTTTTAAATAATACTTCATAATTCCACGGTTACAATTGCTAAAAGAGGCCAGGCTGGATAGTTTAAATGGTTTGTTTCTGCAATGCTGTGCTTGGCCCTGTAGCTGTGAGACCTCTGTTGAGAAATCTAAGCTCCACGTCTCTGGGTCAGTGTACTAGGGCAGTGTAAAATAAGTACTAGGTCAGTGTACTTAGTACTTTTTAACGTAAAGGCAGTGTCAATTTTGACCACCATCAGGGCACCAGTGTAATCGTAACATAAAGATAACAGAATACGCAAAGATTCTGCCAGAAAAATACACGTACGATGGAAATTCAAAAAAGAGAAATGACCTCTTAACTATTCTTCATTCCAGTCCAGGATTGATAAATTTAGATTCAAAGTTCTGATCTTGCGCAAGGTTTTCACTTTCCAATGTTTTAGCAAAACGCACGTTATGATAAGCGCATTATGTGGTAGCTAGTAGCAACAACACAACGGTTAAATTTATTTAGTAAAGAAAAATACACAAATGAAAACACGTACCCCTGGACTAGTTCTTAGGACGAGCTTTCGTCAACCCGAGCAAATGTAGAATGACCTGTGGCGTGATAGACAATACAAGTCACTCTAATGTGAGGTCACCCATAATATTTCCAGAGGTGAAAGTCCTGATTTGGAAGTTGTACCGCAAATGTATACTTTGTTTAAAGCGTTATTTAAACAAAAAAATAGGTTAAGAATTTTATGACCCTTATAAAGACAGTCTTCCAGATTTCATTTATCTTTACAATACCACTGGAAAAAAAAAGAATTTTGTGAACACCCCTATTGACTAGCTGTTGGAACGGCTCGCCAATATTGTCTGCCATTGTCCAAAGCAGATACTGAGTGTCGTTTATGGGAAATGATCGAACGTAAGTTTCATTGTCAGAGGATCACAAAGAAATTTTACCTTTATCTGGAGTCTCAAATGACATGGATTGGGAGCTGACAAAGAAATGTTGGCTCCCGAAGCCTTTTGATTTGAAGGCAGTTATTCCTCTACCATCTAGACCATGTCGGTCTTTTGCTTTCAAAGTTATGACCAGTCAAGTCATGAACGTTTTGAAAGTTTTGCGCTGATATATTATAAGATGAAACAATAAAGGAAAAAATAACATCAATGAACAAAAAAACCCCGAGGAACTTACTAACTATATAGTGCAATTAAATAACATCTAGCAACGTGGCCACGTAGCCCAGCGACTCCTGTGTGTCTACACGTATAGTGAAGGAGAAATTTGGCTTCTACCCATTAAATTTGCTAAAACGAATGAGCTAAAACGAATGAGCAAAGTACAAGGTGTAAAGATTGCATCACTGTTTGCCAAGTAGGCGGAGGTATATAGCGCTGACAAGATCAAAACAGCTTATACAAGCAAAAAGAATGAGCCACAAGAGGTCAACGAACTTTGGGGATATACCTTATGCGACCGTACTATATAGCTGTATCTTTACAGTTGACATAACAGGCCCTGCGTTTATCGCATTAACTTCTTCGCATTATCCTAATCCGTATATTCCAACATTTGCCGTAACACAGCAGATGCTTGATCTGTATCTGCAATACTCTAACAATCTGTAAAGATCTCACAAATTGCAATGTTAATGGGAACCTTTTAATGTTATCTAGTTAAAAAGTACCTAACTAACCTAAACCTAAACCCTAGACCCCGGGGAAGACCACCCAAGAGGTGGAAAGATCAGATACAGAGTGACACAGGGATTACTCTAAGTGTAGCTGAGGCTATCGCTCTTGACAGAACTGGTTGGAGGAACCTGACGGAGGGGAGCAAGGGGCCAGTACCTGGCCTGGGCACTTAGGCAGGCAGGCAGTTAAAAAATCTAGATGCATAACAAAACAGGTCAATGACCGTCTTAAAAGTTTAAAGTTGCCTGCGTACAATGAAAAAAAAAGATTATTAATTGCAGATTCTGTCAGGGCCCGCTCACCCCATCTTGGTTAAATGTTAAATAATTAACACCGTTGACGATATCTATTAATAAACGACAATTATACATTTTATACAGCAAGGGCGCGTCAAGTTCTATTTCCTTCGTTTAAAAATACAGACAAAATGCACGAAATCAACGCGCATCGTCGTGACCTCTACAATAAATTATATACCAAAATCCGGACGACAAAGTAAAAAACATCGATGGTTACAGCTGTGAACACGAAAACGGGACCTTTCGGTAAAACTGTCCTCCATGGATATAAAATGAAATGTAGCTCTTGTGCTTTACATGTATTGCGTACATGTCGTTCTAAGTGAGTTCTAGAATTTTAACCGAAACAATGCTAAAACATCACACGCGTTTTTAAAACACGTTGCAAAATAAGGAATTTCACAGCCTGAGGTATGGTATATAATTAAACAATAATTAAGGGTTAATGACCAGCCCTGAGGTGTATATGGTTTAAAAAAAAGCCTTGTCAGCTATAACTACCGAATAAAACGATCGAGTGAGCGTAGGGTTGTTGGGCCCTGATGTATATTTCCTCCCTCACAAAAAAGTACTCCATGTCCAGTATGCGTACCATATCCAGTGACTCGATATTTATGTGTTGTGAAACTTGTGTTGTAGTTGAACTGGGGCGCCTGTGCTCCGAAAATCTAGTTTGAAGTGACCGTTCAGCTCTACATCAGGGCCCATCAATCCTCTCTTTACCGTGACGATGGAAGATTTCATCCCCCCCCCCCACATTCGATGCACTCCTGACGTCATCTCGATTCCGGAGAGTCAGTTAGTGCATTACACATCTGACGAAGGTTGATAAGATCGACCAAAACTAATGTATTACAACAAAGCTTAAACATTATAACAATGGATTCTACAAACACAGATGAGCTCTCATTCGAATAATTACGTTTTTTTTTCATACTCGAAATAGTATAATATATACACTGTCAACGTTTATTTTGTTTGTGTTTATTTGTGTACTGTGTATTATAGGCATCAAGATTAACTTTAAGAAATGATATTACATATTTGAAGCTAGAATGAAGCATAACTAAACCACTTAATACTTACGAATAAATCATGGTTAAAACAAACAAACACGTATACACCCCAAATTCATTGCAAAATCATTCTGTATTGCAAACAAAGCAAAACTTTGGTATACCACGTGTGTATTCGTAACAAAAAAAAGTAAAATCAATTTCGTGTACAATGACAACTGTAACTTAAAACCCATTCTCATTATATAATAACAACTTTGTAATTAGGTATAACACATCTATCTAGCGTCTGTCTAGTATGCAGATTTATGGTTGACTTTATTGCAAACTAAATATAAGCGACAAAAAGTTGCAGCTTAAGAAACCGCCGCTGGACGTTGTAAGATGTATATGATGTATATAAATTTAATCTATCAATATTTGCGCTAGTAGCATAACATACGCCACGGGTCTGCTTTCTCACACCTACAATTCACCTTATATCAATAGTACACAAGCAAAGGCCAAAGCCGACAGTTCATAACGTAGTTTAAAGGTATCTAGAAGCTTAAGTGTGATCTATTTCGAGTAGCCGATAGGAATTATGCATTTGAATTCAACCCCAATTAGATGATGATGGATGCTAAGACAATGCCTTGTGGTTTAACCCAATTCATGGCCTTATTTTATGTCAGAATAGAAAATAAAAGTCATACATTCCACTTAATCGTAATTTCTGCACAGATCAGTGCACATTACCGATAATCTCAACCCAGAATCCATGTCTAAAGCTGGATGGACCAAATGGTACCATGGGACCCGCTAGCTCATATTCACATTTGCAGCTGAATTATTTTATTACCAACAGACTCCGAACACTGAATTTAAAACTCCAAATTCGATCGGAACAATTTAAGGGCTAAAGCAATCTGAGAAGAGAATTCAGTAAACTGAAATATAGATGTAAAATTTGTTGTGTTTGGTTTGACACTGTCACTCAAATACATCCATAATATTCTGCAAAGTCTTTTTGAAAACATTTTTGCGAGGTGGCTTAAATCGCTTTAGAGTTTATGCCAAGGATTATAATGAAGTCCTCTGGACAAATGCCATAGGAACCTCAAATTACATGTAGTGCTCGAAATTCCTTTTTTGTGCAGTTGTGCACGAACCTACAAAAAAGATAAGTGCAGAAAATTTTCGGGTGCACCATATAAAATAATCTAAAAGTAGATTGTCAGCAGATCCTAATTCAAAAATTAAAATGAAGTCAAATTCCAATTCCAATACAACAAAGATTTTATCATTTTGCTGATATCAAGGACATGTATATTTTTCATAGTTACATGAGCCTAATACGACAATGTTTAGGTGCACTGGTGCGACCACAGAAAATGGGTGCACAGTTCTAATTCCGGGCGCACGAAGGTGCACATGTACACAGTATTTCGAACAGTATGTCTGTAATAGCAGGGCAAAGTATCCCAAAATATACAGCCAGTTTGGTCGAAAAATTTTAAAAAGAATCATTATGGAGTAGTGCATGAAAAATGTAGTCTTTTGGTTTTATGTCTGAAAAGAGATTGAAACGTTTTAACTAATTTTAGACATACCCTCAAAAAATCATTGCATGAATTATTGTCATACTTGAAGAATTAAAAATTAAATTAAAAAATTATTTAAAACAATGGCTTCTTGAAAAACAAGAAACCGTAGATATAGACACAGCTAGGTATTATGTGTATTCAAAGCACATCAATAAAGCAGTTCTAATCATGCTTTGGTGTCCATGATAATGACAGGGTTATCGACGCCCCAAGCTTGCTTCAAAGGTGGCACGCCGGTGTGAGTCAGTGGCACAGCTGGAAACTGGTAGGTGTCTACCTTAGGCACGTTGCTCTTCTTTTTCACCCTGGAGAAATGAAAAAAAAAGGGATTACAAAACAAAGCAAGGAAACATAAATGTTGGGCCAAACCAATTTGATTTGTTGGTTCTCGGACTCATATCGTAGCATTTTGGACTATAATAGGACGCCAAAACTGTTTTTTTTTTTTTTTTTTTT